CTAACAATTTAACGTTAAAAAAACGTTATAAAAACGTATGAGTTTGGTTCAAAAAACGTTTTAGTAAAACGTTTCGAAAACGTAATTTTGTGGAGTTTTGGAAGCGTTTAAATAATGTTTTAAAAAAGTTATTATAACGTGAAAATAACCTTGGTTACATCGACTTTGGTCTTGTATCACGTTTTAAAAACGTTTAAAAAACGTTTACGAAGGGTTTTTTATTACGTTTGTAAATCGTTATAATATTACGTTTTAAAAACGTAATTATTTGGAGTTTTTAAAGCGTTTTAATAACGTTTCAATTTAACAATTCAGAACGTTATTATAACGTTATTTTGATGTTTTTAATCGTTTTTAAAACATTCTAAAATGTGTTACAATACCAAAGTCAATGTAACTAGAGTAATTTTTAACTCTAGTTACATTGACTTTGGCCTTGTAACACCTTTTAAGAATGCTTTAAAAACGTTTAAAAACTTAAAAATAACGTTAAAACTTTTGAGTTTGATCGGTGTTCCAAGACGTTTTCAAAACTTGAACAAAGGATGTACACTGAACCGTGGATATCCTTAGGTCGGCCTCTGGTCACATGTAGGATTCCAACTACATCGTGTTAATTTTGATGCTCTGGGACAAAAGAGGTCAACAATACAAAATTACTTACAATTATGTAGCGTTATGTGTTTATCCTTTAATATTCAATGCGTCCTGTACTGTACTTAATTATACTGTAAATTAGCAAAAGCCCCATTTCAATATAGGACAAAAGGATATACAATAATCAATATCCAAAAAAATAATAAATCAAAATCAAGTTAGAGTCAAGTGCTGACAATTCTATACTATTTCTGTAAGTACAGTTTTTTCAGTCAGTATTTGGCAAGTTCAATTGATTTAAAAAATGTGAAAGAAATATAAAAAAAAAACAAGGGACCTAGTGTACAAAACTCCATAGTGCACACTTAAAAATCTTGGATATTGAGAAAAGCAGATGGCTACACTCTCTCTGAATCAAGCCTTGACGGAGGAAATTCATAGCTGTTCTGTCACAATGGAACCATTTGCGAAGTAGAATGTTGTAGCAGAACCAGAAAGAGGATGTTCTACAAATCAAACGCATTCACATAATATTGCTGACGTCCTCATCGTTGTCATCTCTTCTGGCAACTACATCTTCTTCATTACAAACTTGCTTAAGTTTCTGTAAAAAGTGAACACAAAAATGTGTCAATTTAATCTACAGTCGGCCTTTTTTGCTTTTTATAATTAGTATTCTACATGTAGGATGAGTTTTAGTATTGTTTTCTGAAGTGAAGTGATTTTTCATTACTGTTAAACTTGACTTAACCAAACATATTCTTTTGAGTATCTCATAGTAAAACATACTTTTATTACTCCCAAGGTAACACCAACTCAATAGATTTAATTACAAACGTATGATCACCCTTGTTAATATATTATTTGACTGCTGAATATTAGTCCTATAAACAAATTCAACAGATTAGAATAATTACATTTATATTAAAAATAACATGTATAGACCTATGTTAAATATTTATGAAAAAATAATATAAGGTAAGTATAAATTATCATGATAATTTAAAACTTTTTAGTAACTTGTCTGAAGCCGTGATACTTGACATCCTTAAAACAAATAATTCCCATTCTAAAGCAATGTATTAGTTAATATAATGAAAATAATAAATGAAAATATTATAGGTATTAATTAAACTGTTTGAAGTGATCATTATGGAATGATAAACATACGCACACAGTACATACAAGGTTAGCATATCATGATGCTGATACAGTGATAGCCCACCATTTCAATAATCAACAAACAATGATGTAATATTGTTTAATAATAATAATAATAATAATAATAATAATAATAATAAGATAAAGCCTGGACTTACCGTATTTAATTATGCATACAGGGTGCCTTTACAGAAGAATGGTGGACTTGCCTAAATGCTGTTGAACTTTCTTCCCTCAGGTCATTGGTAACTAAAAGTAAACACATTTTTATCAATTAATAACATCAACCAAAAAATATTAATTAAAGAAAAATTTATAAACAATTAATATATAGAATCTACAAATGAGCTGCAGTCATACAGGCAATAACAAAATAGTATTCAGCACAATCAAAAATTGTGAATGACATTGTGACCTGTTCCGACACTGAAAGCAGACTTAGAAATCTTAACTGTAACATTATAGCCAGCAACTTCTCATGAAAAATACAAAAACGTCATGCCTAAGAATCACTAGGCCTAGTAAAAATAATTAGATTTGGCCTATGTGCCAGTACCAGGGCAAATACAGGGCCGCTAGCATGAGACAGACAAGGCACATTTGCCTCATCTATCATGATATTCCCAGGTTTGTTCTTGATTTAAAACTATGAAAAGGAGTATTTGTCATTAAATGCCTCGCAGTTCAATACACACTTAGTCCTAGGCCTACAGCACAGGATAACTGTAGAACCAGGCTAGGCCTAGCTAGGATCCGTATTTAG